TAATATTGAAGCTATAGTATCATTATATAATAAAACAATCTTTGGCCATAATTTGAAAACAAAATAATCCACATTTCAACAGGCTTTCAAAGTGTGTCCTTCAGTTTGCTTTTCTCTTTTTTTCTTATTTTGCCATAATGGGTAGATATGATAATTGAAAAGAATATGGTACTCAAAATGCTTTTATAACTGGCTTACTGGAATTTATGGTATTTGAGGTAATGAGAACATCATATGTTTCCATCACTCAACTCAGTAGCAAGAATGCAGCAATATATAATCTACAAATATGAGTGTACATGTGTTGTTAAAACTTTATAAATTTTGAAATTTGAACCCTATAAATTTCAAGAATCACAAAATATTAAACTTCTTTTGATTGTTTATACTATTTTAAAATCATTTTTATTTGAAGTACAAAAACTATTCTTAGCTTACAGAACATACAAAACCAGGCAATAGTCTATATTTGGCTCAAGGGCAGTGGTTTGAAGACCTGTAGAGAAAAAAAAAGACATTCATTTCAGTAATCCAGGCAAGGAATGGTATAGTTGGCCTATGAAGGTGATAGAGATGAGATAAAGATAATCTGAGGATATTTAAATAAAATATCTGATGATGAATTTAATAGAATGAAAGAGAGAAAGGACTCTGGGTTTTCAAATTTGTATACTGGCATGGAAATCCTCCAGAAAGATAGAAAAACTTAGAAATATACCAAATTTGGAGGGAAAATCAAGAGTTCACTTTAGCAAAGTTCTTCTTTGATAGGCCTTTGTTATATCGAAGGACAGATTTATATAAGCAGTTGGGCTTGGAGATCTTGCCTAGGGCTATTAATGTTTTGTAATTGAAACCATGGACTTGGACGAGATTACTTAGCCTGAGAGTAGAGAATTAGAAGAAAGGAGGGCAGAGGGCCAACCCTGAGGAACTCCTACACTTAATGACGTGGGGAAGAAACTCAGACTGCCAAAGAGACGAAGAAGAAGCTGCTCAAGTGATGGTAAAAAAAGGAGAATTAAATTATGAATGGGAAAGGAGGAGAATGTTTCAAGAGTGCCAGTGGTTAGCAGTCTTGAATTCCACAACAAGTAAAATGCACTGAGTTAACAATATCGGGAAAGTGACAACTAATGAGTTTGAAAAGTATTTTATGGGTATTATAGGGATGGGAGCCAGAATGAAGCAGATTGATTAGTGAGATTGTAAAAACAGAAAACATTTGTTTTTTTAATGTGCACATAAAGTTGGAGAGAATGTAGTGGCAAAACTATATGGGATTGCAACAGCTGGGTTGGCTATATTTTTATTAAATGGAACTTGAGTAAATTTACAAATGTGGAGAATCCATTTGATGAGGAGGCTGAGGACACATAAATGAGAAAGTAAATGAGAAATGGGAACAAAACACAGGTCAGATCAGTCAGTTAGTCATCTATCAGTTTGATCTGCCCATCCATGTACCTCCTAAACACTTACATGTCTCTATAATTTTAATTTTTTTATATTTAATAAATTTGAAGTGCCTTGAAGCTTTAAGATTATTCAGATTTTTCTTGCAGCTGAATCTCTTGAAAAAGTACTAGTGAGTTGGAAGTCCCAATTTGAGCCTATGCTTTAAATAAATTTTCTTTTCTTTTTCTTTTTTTTTTTGAGATGGAGTTTCGCTCTTGTTACCCAGGCTGGAATGCAATGGCGCGATCTCGGCTCACCGCAACCTCCGCCTCCTGGGTTCAGGCAATTCTCCTGCCTCAGCCTCCTGAGTAGCTGGGATTACAGGCACGCACCACCATGCCCAGCTAATTTTTTGTATTTTTAGTAGAGACGGGGTTTCACCATGTTGACCAGGATGGTCTCAATCTCTTGACCTCCTGATCCACCCTCCTCGGCCTCCCAAAGTGCTGGGATTAAAGGCGTGAGCCCCCGCGCCCGGCCCAAATTTTCTTTATTATTGCAGTTAAAATAAACAATAACTCTGAAAACATGCTTTATTATCTCTTGCTTTGAAAGATTATGAATGTAAACTATCAATTTCTTTTGAAAATATAAATGAATAAAAACTTATCATTTTAAAGTTTGGACCATACTAGCAAAAACCAATTATTTATTTCAGTAAATGAGTCATATTAAGATCCTTTTAAGTTGATTATAAAATAAACTAGGATTCTTGTGAATATATCTCTATTCTGTTGTGCTCAAATATTACGTTTCTCTCCTAAGCTGCAGCAGGAACCTTGATTACATTCAGAAATATAATGTTTACTCCATTATGTTGATACAAAATCATTATGTATTAAATTTTCCCTACTAAAGGCAGTGTTGTCTGATAACCATGTGCAGTTATTTTTCAAAGCTAACATGGACACATACACAGCCACTTTCAATAATATTGTGTATGGATATGAGTAAGTAAATTAAATCTCTTTTATGTTTTTACTTACTCTCTTGGTCAAGAGACTAGACTCCAGGTCATCTCTTCTGAGCTGTCCTGGGTTCCTAGCCCCTTTCTCATGTCAAACCTCAAGGGTCACTGAAGGCCCTTGGGTCTTATAACCACCTGCTTCTACTTCCTGTATTCCATTCTTAATGCTAACTCTGTCCAGTCTATGAAAAGGTAAAAAGTACACTCAAGGATGAGAGAATAGGGCAGTAGCTCGAGGAGGCTGCAGATTATTAAGAAATTGTTGGTTAAGATTTGGAAAGCTGTAATAAGAACTTTGCATGATCTGGGAACTTAATGGCTGTTTGGGAAAATTGCCAACTTTGATTTTCACAGGCAATTTTTCCAAAGGTAGTCAGAAGTTTAGAATTGATTCCTATAGATGTGCAATGCTTTTTTTTTTCCTGCCAAGAGTAGAGGAAGAGTCACCTGTGTAAATGTTGAAGAGAAGTTAAGTAAGGTGGACACTGAGTGTCCACTGGGTCTGGCAGCATGGAGGCCTTTGATGACTTATTGAAAATAGTTTCTGTTTGTAGAAGCAGAACCTCTAATAGTGTGAACTAAAGACTGAACAGGGAGTAAAGAAATGTACAAACTCTGGCCGTGAAGTGTAGAAGAGAGACAGAGACATTGTTAGGGTAAGCTTAGGGTCAAGGGTGGTGCTTTTTAAAAAAATGAAAGAGAGTTGAGCATGTTTAAGTGCTAATGGAAAGTACCCAGAAGTGAGGGAGTGACTGAAGATGTTAGGTAAAGAGACAAGTCCTTGAGAAAGTATAAGGTGTGTCACCACCCAATGAACAGCAATTATCTTTAGTAACAAGTTCTTTCCTTTTACGGTAAAGAAGGTACAAACGTGAGTTAGTAGATCCTATGAGAAAAAGTGAGCTACCACTGATCCGATGGTTTCTGTTTTCTATGTAGTAAGATGAGAGATCCTCTATGAAGAGTGAGATAGAAGGGAAGGGTAAGTTTAAGAGGTTTTGGGCAGATTGAAAATTTTTTTAAAAAATTAAGTTCACTGTTCTGATTGAGTCAAAATCTTTTCTAGATGTCTTTATACCTCTAACACACATTTTAGCTTATTCATTATTTTGTTTTAAATAATTACTATCTTAAAATCAATTTTGTTTTTATTATTTTTCCTTAAGAAAAATATAAATTGGGGTATGAGAAACTTACTTTTATTCATTTATGTATCTCCCCACAGTACTAAGTATGAGTAAGACTTTTAACATAATATAATTTTCTGGTTCGGTTTATTTGTTTTGAGATGGACTTTCACTATTGTCACCTTGGTTTAATGCAATGGCGTGATCTCTGCTCACTGCAACCTCCGCCTCCTGAGTTCAAGTGATTCTCCTGCCTCAGCCTCCCAAGTAGCTGGGACTGTAGTCATGAGCCACCACACCCAGATAATTTTTGTATTTTTTAGTGTAGACAGGGTTTCGCCTTGTTGGCCAGTCTGGTCTTGAACGCCTGACCTGAGGTGATCCACCTGCTTGACCCTCCCAAAGTGCGTGGATTACAGGTGTGAGCCACTGCATCCGGCTTGGTTTTTTACACTTTGAGTAGTCTTACTCTTTCTGGAAAAAATTTTACATCACATAAATCTTAGAAGTGTTGTTAACTTTCTCTTTTTCTCATATCTAGTTTTCTGGGTCATTCTTGGCTTGCCATGGGGCCTCATGGTTGCATGGAAACATGTCACGTTTTAAAATTTACTTAAAGTCATGATGAAGTTTGGTCATATTCTGTCTTCAATTTATGCTGAGGGCATGGCTTTTGTTAATATTATTTCTTCTTTGTTCTGTATTTTTTTTGTTTTTGGAGAAAATTTTGGGAGAAATCATTCTAGGTAACCACAGATATCTTTAGCTACTCAAAAATCACCTAGTCATCAATTTTAAATATAACTACATGTGAAAAAATTAAATCTAGTTGGGAAAGTTGTTAAAATTTATGTTTATAATAACATAGATTTGGTCTACACATTTCTGTGTGTAAGAAATAAGAAATTTTAAAATATCTTATTACTCCATATGGAACAGTTTTACCCAATTCTTTCTTGAAGTCACTGCATCCATGTTATGTTGTAGATTGAGCTTTTCACCCATGGTCAAGGCTGTGGGAATATGGCTGGAGGTGGGTATTAATCAGCTGTTTATAAATGCACTTTTGTAAGAAACAGAGTTCCTCTCCCTTATGACCCAATCAGGTCTAGAAATTATAGTACAGAAAAATTTTATGAAGCCACCCCACTCACTTCCCATGGGACAGTTTGTCAGCACATGTGTCATGCCCTTTCTCATTAAGCTATAGTTGCCTCAAATAGTGCCAGGAAGTAAGTAAAGGGCACTCTGTAAGGGCAGGAAGGATGATAAGGAGCCAGAGGGAAAATCACAAAAGTGAGGAAAATAAAATTACTACCTTAAAATATTATCCCAGACTCACAATCCAATCCAAAACTAATATTGTTCTGTTTTTATTACATAAAGAGATAATGAATGCCTAGTATACTTTAACTTTCTGATACAACTTGTTGATTTCTGCTTCACAGCTATGTTAGAAATTGATGAAGACTATCCATTATTTCATTCCATTTACAGAGTGATGGCCACAGATGAGGACTTCGCAAATGGTGATAGGCTGAATGTAGGTGGCAATCATTGTGCCAGATGCTTTGATCAATTCAGTGTACAGTGCGATCTTTCCTAAAATGTTTCAAGCACAGTTAATATAATTTGATAAAGAGTGTATGATGAAGTTTACAACAACTACGATGCAATATTCATGTTAATGTTGGAAATGGCATTTTTAGAAGAAGCTATTTTCTTGAGGCATACAGGAAAATTACACGACTTCTAATTGAAGTCAGGGACTGGGAGGAAGATGTCAATGCTGAGGCAAAACTGGGGCTTTGCCTTTTGGAAGCTAATCAGAACTACTTCTCCTTCCTAGCTATTTCAATGATACATATGAATGTGATTATATATTTTTTTATGTTTCAGTGTCCTAATTACTAAGAATTTAACCCTAAGACACTTGCTTTTTCTCTTAATTGATTCATGGTTATAAAGTCTCTTAGAGATTTGGCAAAATGAAAAGAACCTATCAAGTTTGTTTTGGAGACGTCAGCAATGCAGTGGACTACAGAGTCAGCAGGCTTGCTCTGCAGCTGTTCTTTTTGAACAAGTATAGAAATAGTTTACTACATCAAATGTAACTCACAGTATAAAGTAATCGAGCAACAAATGGCAGTGGGGTTGTTAGGTGACTTGGCTAAGTTTGGCTTTACCACCAACTAGTGCTGTAATACTGGGGAAGTCACTTAATCCCCCTTGTGTTTGATTTTTGCAATTATAAGATTTTTTTTTTCCTTCCATTAACCTTCAGTGATAGATGTGCTGTTGTCAGTCAAAGTATTCAAAATCCCTGTGGGACACTCCAAAAACATTTTGTTGTGGACCAGTCAATATGAAATTGTTTAGAAACACAAGACCTTTCCCATTACATGATGTCTTTTCAATAAATTTTTAAAACACTGTGGTCCAGCTGAAAGTAATTATTACCACTTCTGTCATTTTCAGAAACATAATAGAAACCAAATAGGTGATTGTTTTTAAATTCAGTGTTTTTAGAAGTACTTCTATTTTTTGAGGCTAGAAATCATATCAGATTACAAAGAAGAACACAGAGGTAATTAAACTTTTCTTCAGTGAAATTTTACCTCCTTCCAAACTAAATGGTCTTCAGATACTTTTGAAGTTATATTTACCTACTTTTACCTGTTCTCAGAAGTGGTGGGAAATAAATAAAAAGGAAAATTAAGTACATAAATTATAAACCGCATTAAAATTTGAAATAATAACACTTGAAATGGATTATAGCATTATAATTCTTTTGTTTCTTAAAACTGGTGAGTTTTGTATATTTTTAATGATAACGATAGTGAGTTTATTCTGTACATGTTTTCAGTGTTGTATGTGCAGAATTAAATTAATAATAAAACAAATAAAAATCATGCATTTAAAAATTGTTTTAGAAAACTGCAAAGTGTACAGTTCTGTTTAAAATATAGAAAATATTTTGGTTATGTTTGAGGATATACAACTGTATTGTTTTCCCTGTATCCTGAAAACAATGATGTCAGTGGTTCTAATACTAGTAAATCATAAAGAAAAACTGAAATTAATCAGTTTGAAAATAGGGAACTTTCTATATTTATGCCCCATTATTGTGTCTTAATGATCTTCCATGCCTTCTCATTTATTCCGTTTTGAATAATGCATATTTTATTTTTCTAGTACACCACTGAGACACAGTTATCTGGACCAAAGAAAGGAGCAAACTCCTTTGGAATGGATCCTATATGTGGTGTTGTTAGTGTAAGAGGTGCAGATCCTTTGGATTTTGATGCTGGATATCATGTAATTAAAATGTTTATTTATTTTTCCATGCAGAATGAAACAGAATTTTTATCATTTTGAGCTCTTCATGAAGACTCAAACACCTTGTTGTTTTGAAGGGAGATTAATATTTTGTGTGATTCATTTGTGAGGATTTGTGCATGTAACCAAAAGCCTACATCCAATCTTTATGTTACTACAACTGTAGAGATTATGTCTTTTTTTTTTTTGAGACAGAATCTTGCTGGGTCACCCAGGCTGGAGTGCAATGGCCCCAACTTGGCTCACTGCAATCTGTGACTCTTGAGTTCAAGTGATCCTCCTGCCTCAGCCTCCCAAGTAGCTGAGACTATAAGGCACCCACCACCCCACCTGGATAATTTTTGTATTTTTAGTAGAGATGGGGTTTCACTATGTTGGCCAGCCTGGTCTTGAACTCCTGACCTTTTGATCCACCCACCTCAGCCTTCCAAAGGGCCGGGATTATAGGCTCAACACTGCACTCAGCTGAGATTATGTCTTAACATTTTGATTTTACAAAAAAAAGTTTAAGAAAAAGAAATTTAAGTGTCATTTAAATCTGGGAAAACCAAATCAATAAATCATTAAAATGTAAATATTTCCGAACATCAAAGAAAAGAAAGAAACTTAAATCAGTCAAGTTTTCATATGGAAACTATTATACAATTCATACACCCTACCCCAGTAAGAGTGTTAACTCACTTAAATAGCCAAGGTAAGATAGGCCATAAACCTTATAGGTGAATCTGAAAATAACATGGTAAGAAAAAATAGTATATGGTATTTACATGAGAAATATAATTGAAGGAAAGCATTCAAGGATGATTGAGTGGAAAATGAAGAATATATAAATATGAATAACTGACTGGAAAGAAACCAGCTATTGGAGATAGTCTGTCCACATAGAAATGAGGTGTGTATTTTGAGAAATAAAGGCTATTATTACAGTCATAAAATAACATTTTGCAATATTGTAAAAAATTTCTATTTTCAGAAGTGTCTTCAAATTTGTTATTACAATAAGGTGATTAAGAAAATAGGAAGAAGGAGAAAATGCAAGGGATTAGAGTAAAAATAGAGAATTTGCTGCTAAGATAATTAGAGGGAAGAGTTAATAGCTGAAGATCTTAACTTTCTGGCCTGAAAGAACATAAATGGTGGAAGAATGTCAATGAATTCTATTTCAAGTTTAATTTGATGTGTTGCATGATAGAGGATGGTGAAGAAGCCAATGATAAATATTTTTAAAGCAACTTGAGTGTTAGGACTATAATATGAGATAGGTTATATGGAAGATCAATGGACATCACGCATGTAAGCGATTCAGCTCCATATCTCTACTCTTCCCAGCCTCTTCACCTCCTGTCTTGACCAACAATCAAACCTAACTTCTACCAAGTCCTTTGAGATCACTTCCATCTTTCCACTGCAAAACTAACCAATTTATTATATGCCATCTGACATGTAGTTACCTATCCAAGGGACTGAAGTTTGATCATTGTCAGCCCTTTCCTCAGCGTGGAGTCTTACACGCTGTAAAGTTTTATTGGATATCTAAACATAGTGGATACCTTACTGCCTCGGTGGTGTTTTGTTTTGGTTTTCAAAAGGGGATTTCCTGATATGAGCAAATGGTTTCTAAGAGGTGAGATGTGTGGCAGGCTGAAGAGAAAAATATTTAATATTTGATTTCATTTTTAACTCTTCAGAAGAAATTACTTGTGTCATGGATCCCAAAGAGGAGCTTATCTTCCTATTTCTAGGGTTGATCATAAAACAGCCTGGTTTGTCAATAGTTTCAGTGCATTGTATTTTGGCTTAAGATTAAATCTAAAAATTGTTCATTTGGGAGGAGTTTCAATTTTATCTGTATTGAGGCATATATCCAGGCTATGCAGACTTTTGAATGAAATTTAATGGTATATGAAATGAAGCAACCTATAATGAATCTAGCTAAATAAGAAAGATAAGTAAATACAAGTAAGAAAGTACTTGGATTTCTTTTAACGAATGAGAAGAGAAATAAGAAGCTATATTTAGTTGGGGAAAACAAAACAAAAATCTAACAGGATGCATATTGTGAAAGTATATATGTATTATAAAACAGTAGTTTGTAAAGTTTTAAAAAACTCTTTTCCAGGTTTTCCAGCTTGCACTGAAAGCAACAGATACAACAGGTCTGATCTGTCAAGGGACACTAATTATCTTGATTAGAACAAATGATGAGAAGCCTCAATTTGAGTAAGCATATTTATTTTAAAGAGTATACATAGGAGAATGCGTAAAATAAAATTTTCACATATACAGCTGGCACTTGGTGTCTGTGGGGCATGTGTTCCCAGAGTCCCTGAATACCAAAAGTTATTGTTGTTCAAGAATCTTTTTTAATGGTGTAATGGTGTATTATTTTCTTTTTCTTTTCTTTTTGAGACTAAGTCTCCCTCTGTCGCCCATGCTGGAGTGCAGTGATGGGATCTCAGATCACTGCAACCTCTGCCTCCCAGAATTCAAGCAATTCTCCTGCCTCAGCCTCCCAAGTAGAGTAGCTGGTACTATAGGTTTGTGCCACCACATCCAGCTAATTTTTGTATTTTTAGTAGAGATGGGGTTTCACCATGTCAGCCAGGCTGGTCTCAAACTCCTGACCTCAAATAATCCTGACCTCAGATAATCCCAGGTCTCCCAAAGTGCTGGAATTATAGGCATGAGCCACTGTGCCCAACTGTATTATTTTCATATAACCTATGCATGTTCTCTTTTATACTTTAAATCATCTCTATATTCCTTATAATACCTAATACAATATAAATGCTATGTAAGTAGCTGTTATACTGTATTTGGGGAATATTTTTGTCCCCATGGTTGGTTGAATTTATGACTATGAAACCCATGGATACCAGGCAAGATTGTGTTACAAATAATGATACTAAAGATTATGTAGCTACACAGAATTGTTTTTGATGTTGCTAAAATATATGACTTTACATCAATTATTAATGTATATACTCATAAAAAATAAAATGTATTAGAAAACACTGGGAAGCAAATTTACAACATTCTAATATGGTAAAAAAGATTTTGGTGTATCTTTTTTTTTCTTTCCTGAAGAATATTCACAGTTGCTAATTGCTTTTTAATAATTGCATCAATTTTAAATAGGAGGAAAGGTAGACCTTAAACTTAGTTTATTTCATACTCTGGAGGTATAGTTGTAGCATTCAAAACTGTTTACAGATTATGAATGCAATCAATGTTAGATGTTTTTCTATACTTTAAAATGTAGTAGTGAAATGTATTACTACAATCTAAGAGGAATCAAATACTTCTTAGATTATGAAAAAGAAGAAGAAAAATAGTAGTCTTCAAGTTACGTTCCTTGTATCACTAAGTTATATCGCTACAGATGACTAAGGAAAGTAATTCATTTTTTGGATCTCCAAATTTATTTTAAGTTATATTATCTGAACAACTTAAGATAATTTGGAGCTTAGTTTATCCTTTATTTGTGGGAATCATTTTCCTAACTGTCCTCCTGTGTTTGTAGTAGAGTTGCCATCAACTTTTTGAAAAAATATTCTGCTGCCTTCATATCTTCCTTATTGATTTTAATATTTAGTAGAAATTAATGCAACATATTATAAGCAATGCAAAAATTATTGAAATATTCCCAACTACTTTTTTCATCTCTCAAGAGATATTGCATGTTAAGTAACAATTAAGAGAAAGATTTAATGTGGTCCAGAATATGAATATTATAGTTTATATTATATTATGGTACAAAGGAGAAAATTCTGTAGAGGAGAAACCACATTAGATTACTGTGATCAAGAGGGTTGCTCAAAGGATGGCATCACTCACTTTTCCTTTGAATTTACATTCCTTTGAGGACTTTCTTGAACCTCTCTTCTATCCCCAGAATTAGTCTTTTTTAAAAATTTGCAGCAAACTTAGAGCATCTATTACCTAGTATTTTAGCTGTTTATACTTGTGTTTCCCATTAGCACTGAGATCTGAACAAATGCTAAGACCCAGTCCTATGTGCATGCACTGGAGTGACACATGGTAGATTATGAATAAATGTCTGATGCCTGAATGAAAGGCTGAATAAGAACAAAATGTAACTTTCAGAAATGTTCTGGAGATTGATCAAGGACTTTTACGTGTGACTTGAAGACGTAAGTGATATATTTACAAGAACAGTCTTGAAACTTGCTCTAGTAAGTGATGACTTTGGAGGGAGTTTCATCATATCAGATAACAAGATGAAAACAAATATGTTTAGTCCTTTATGTTCAGTTGCCAATTATTCCATGCATTGAATATCTGGAATAATGGAGATTCACTGTTCCATTTTGTTTTTCATTTTCCATCTCTTTTATGTCATGTCTTTGATGTGCTTGGTGCTAGAGACTATATGATTAAAAATTAATGTTTTTGCAAAAAGTTAAATAACTTTATGCCACAAATGGATTTGCTCAATATCTGAATAGCTTTGGGACTTGTAAATTCTTGACAAGAGGAAGGTGATATTATAAATCCAAAATATTCTTTCCAGGTTATCATAACTTGGCCATTATGTATGTAAGAATTCTCAAATTTGCAGCCTCAAATTTTTTCATTGTCATTTTTTTCTTAAGGCCATTTCCTTTGGATGCTATTAATGTGACTGAGAAGAAATCTGTTGGAGAAGTTATAGCAAGAGTAAAAGCAACAGATCAAGATGAAGATAGCAGTATTATTTATTCATTTAAAACTCAGCAGAAAATGTTTGGTTTTAACCCTTGTAAGTTTTAAGTAAATACTTTTAGCCTACTTTGGCTAAACATTCACAATCTAATCTCTGCACTTCCATTAAATCTTAGGCTGGCAAAACTATCCTTTCAAAATTAAATTAAATATGAAAAAGGAAATATTCCCTAAACAAGTGGTATTTGACAGTTGCTATTTTCCTATTTCTGAAAATGACATTCTTGTGTAATAATGGATGATATAATACCTTGCTTTTATAACTGGCTATCATATTTCAGAGGCACTCAATACAAATGCTTCTGCACATCCTTATAAATTACAGGATGAAATGTCATATCTATCTCTTCAATTTGATTTGAGAAAAATTGGGAATTTTCCAAAATGACTTGATTTTGGGTATTTGTAATGGACAGATTTCTGCATGTGTGAACAGGATTGCTGTTTTGAAATATTTCTCTCTTATGGTTGCCATACTAGTTGGTGTTATCAACCAGGGTACAACCAGAGAAAAATAACCACTGAGAGTATGCTGTAGCAGTGTGTTAAGTAGTCTCTGTAACGCTTTGTGTCTGATGCTGAAGCTTGAACCCATAAGGCTGGAAGTCAGGGAGAGAAGATGCATACAAAGTGGGAGAGATTAAGGGTAGTCTGGAACACACAAGCATATGCTGGACCCCATAAGAATGAATTGAAACCCATTTTAGTTCTTTTTCCTTCTGACCTTGCTGGTGTGGGTGTTCTGCAAAAGCTAAGCCTTTCATTACAGGGCTGAGTATACAGGCCTGTTCTAGAAGTCAGAGAAGTTGAAAGAAGATCCAGCAGTAGGTCAAGCAGTTTCAAGTTCAGCTGCAGCTAGTTCACACCAACAATAACACAGCAGATCAACAAAAACATGCGTAAGAAACAAAATGGCTGCTGCTACCTTTCTACCTTCCAAGTTGGCTAAGAATCTCCCTTGTGTCTCATGAAACTGAAACACACACAAAATAGAATTCGGAAAAATATCGTTTGGCTTAGCAAATGTGGCATATTACAAAGCCATCACACTAATCATCCAATACTTGAGATAATTTATTTGAATCCTGAAAGTTGTTGACAACTTATGCATTTAACTTCAAGATGCAAATCACAGTGGGAAAAGAAGTGCATTAATAAATAATAATGTACCAGCTAAATGAAATTTAGAAGAGATTAAGACCTTGTGGAAATTATGAAGACATTCAGGGTAGGGTCAAAGTAGAGGATTTTTGAACAAGAAAGGAGAGATTCTGGGAGAGAAGATAAGTGATAGCACCAGAAATAAAGAGCCACTTCTGTCATTGCCAGTTTTTATAAGTTTGGCATTTGGCTCATTTTTTGTTTTTGTACACAATAAGATTGAGTTAAGATAGAAGAAAAAAGCAATGAAATGAATGATTAAGATTTTAATATGGTTTGACTAATTTTTCAGGCTCAAAAACAGTAACATTTATTGTTGTAATTAAAGTAAAATATTCTGGTTTGTGTTTGTTATTTTTTAAGTAGGAATCCTATCTATGCTTAGTAAATGAATGCCAATTTAGAAACTTGAAGAAAAATATCATGAAACTATTTACTATTTATAATTTATCTTCTATTTATAATTTACTATTTAATTATATTTATGATGTAACCATAAAGCAAACAGCAGCTTTTAAAAAAATATTTTCCATTGATGTAGAATTGCTAAATATTGCTTTTCTCATGTATAAAAAAAAGTATATTGTTAAGTAACTTAAAACATCATTAATATAAATAAGTTAACATAGGCTTAATTATTTTAGTTTGATCATTTTTCTTCATTGTATTTCTTTTTATTAGTCACAGGAACAATCACTCTTCTTCAGACTTTGAGTCTTGACAACCCAGGTAACTCCAAAACCTACTCTTTGGAAACTGAGGCAACAGATAATGGAAATAATACCAGCAGCTATATGTTTACAGTTTTTGTGGAGAATGTAGATGATCCTATTTCCTGTGATCCAAGTTTTTCAACAGGAGCAGGTATAATACAAGTGAATCTTATTAATAAAATTTATGAGACAATAATAAAATTTCAAAATATAACTTGGAATTATAGTTTAAGCTTTCTGGTTTTATAAATCAGAAGTAAATAAAAGAAAAGCAAATAAAGTGAGAGACATAGCATGTTCCTAAAAAGAAAAAAAAGTTACTATAATTCAAATTTGAATTTAAATTATAATTATTTCTTGTGTGGTGGATGGGGATAGGAGTAATGACAAAATTATTCTGAGTGTATCTGTAACATATGGATTGATATGTAGCCTCACAAGTTATCAAATATATAAAAATCCAAATAAAATACAATATTCACCTACTAAATTGGTCAAAATATTAAAATTATAGGAAAAAATTCAGCATTGGTTAAAGGTATACAGAAATTATCACTTTCATAATGTGAGATTTTTAGAATAACTGCCTAGAATACTATTTCATAAATATTTATTTTAAAAATCATTGTAATCTCTACCTGAGTATTTCTGCCTGAATTCACCTTTACAGAAATATTGGAGATATAATCAAGATTTATGTTCAAAATTTGTAATAGTATAAGGTTTGAAATAACCAAAATGTCTAAGAACAGGAGATTGATTTGAAAGATACTATGTCCATTTGATGAATTGCTATGTAACCATTAAAAATTATCTTTAAAAAATAATAAGCATGAAATGATTCATGATACAAACTATAAACATGATTTCTTTAATTTGGTGTATACAATAACGTATATACCATATATATATAACTAATAGGTATAAATACCTATACCATTTATATATAATCATATTTATTTTTGTGTGATTATAATAAATTTTTTTTCCAAAATTTTAGTAAACATGCTTCACTATTCATTTTTAATGTTTCTTAAATTAAAAATTCTAGCTGTGCTTATAAAATTTCATTCTCTTTAGTGTCATCATTACTCTTAGTAGTATGTAGTTATTTAATCTGCTATTCTTGCCTCCAAAAATACTTGCTTAAAATAAGTTTTCAGTTGTACCAACTATAATAGATTTAAAGTAATATATAGCAGTAATTTTCAGTATGATTACAATAGACATAGTCCTGAAAAGTTTGATAAATTAAGTTTTGTAAATCAAATTTCATTCTTTTACTTAACTCATGAAAGAAAATATGCATTATATATTAGAATCAGTAGGTCTTTATGCATAAAATGATAAAATATGCTATTCTACTTTGTGTCAAACCCATCACAGCCTCATATACAGTTACCTAACCTCACTCTTATGTGAATTTGTGTTTTTCATGAGAACCTAAAAACACAGTCTTTAAAACATTTGAATACTTGAGAACTTGCACATGACTGAATCTCAGGATACATAGGTTGGCTTGACTTAATTTTGTTAGGGTCAACTGGATCTCAACAATTATATCTGCTCTGTTGGTTAGTCTTTCTTTTTTTCTCTCCATTTATTTCTATCTTGCTCATCTACCATAAAGACTTTATCTACTCCTTCTACCTTCTTTGTTTTACTGCTTTTCTTTATTTCTATTAAAAGAAACTACCCAACTAACTGGGAGGCAATAAGATAAAAAAGAAGTTGAGGTCAAGTGGAACAAGGCAAACTTCCTTAAAATAGTCTCTCTTTTATTTTGTTTTTCCCAGATGCCTGTTCATTGCTGCTCTCTCTATTCATTTCTTACCACCGGCATTATCTCTTCTCAGTCTTCAGAAACATCACCCTTTTAGAAACTCAAAACTTCTAATACGCACAGCACACACATATCTTACTTTGAATCAAAACATATCTTCTGATATACATAATAATAAACTTATCTAAAAATATAAGTTTGTATTAAAGGAATTCCTTCACAGAAACTAAATTTAATCAAGAAAAGTCTCCTAGGTGAGCCTTAGCAATGTACCAATAAATGGGCTTGGTGTTTGTGAAGATATAATCTTTTGGACCACTTTGAAACAATTTAGTTGATGTTATTTGGAATTTCCTTGCAGTCTTCCAAAATTACAGTAAACTTTAAAAAGATACACATGGATCTCAAGAAGGTCATTTTGACCTGATTTCTACCACAAGCTTGGCTGAACCAGCATAAACTGCTAGGGTATCATCGAGATCAGGATGTCTTTCTCTTTTGTCATCTGGGCTATGGGCCTTGGGACATACATAGTAGAAGTGGGGACAAGAAGTCATCTTCTGTTAAAAATAGGGCAACTCTGTGGGTCTCTGTGACCAAGAATTGCCAGAGAAAAGATACTGGCATGATTTTCAAGCTGCTGATTTTACACACACATACTCAATTCATTTACTGGGTTTAATTATCTAGTTCCTGTAATTAACCAGAACAAATCACTAAATTAGAGAATCTGCCTACACATGTTCAGTTTGAAACAAAGATTCAAAATAAGCAAGTGCTAGTCACACAAAAGTGGTTCTATAACATCCTTAGAGTCAAACAATGTTAGACCTTTACAGCACTACCCAGTCTAGATTGTGATACAATACTCACTGGATTTGATACCTAAGATTCAGCTGCACAGTAAACATTAATCCTTTTGTCTTTAAAAAAAACTTTCCTTTGTGGAATAATGTAACAGGTAAAAAAAAAACTATTAGTAATCTAAATGTGCATTTATGTCATTTGATTTTGGGATTATGCAGAATCATAGTTGGTAACTGAAAGGAGGATGAGGAGCTGTGGTTGGAAAAAGGCAAGTAGCATTTGGTGAGCATTTGTGAGATGCTATGTATGGTATTTTATTTAATCTCCAGAACTACTCTAGGATCAGAGATGTACTTTATCCTCATTGTGCAGGTGAGAATAGTGATAGAGCAGGAATTCAAGTGGATTTCTTCCTGTCTTCATAGGCTGTGCTCTATTTTTTGTACATGATTGTGAAAGGAAGCAAAAAGTTTTAATATTCAAATAGAATAGAAGTAGAAATCATATCTTAGTGACCATTGACTTCGAGCAATTATATCCCATTCCATACCTGTAGCCCAAAATGTAAATGTAGAAATATAAAACAAAATTATGATGGCTATTTATTTATTTATTATACTTTAAGTTCTGGGGTACATGTGCAGATCATGCAGGTTTGTTACATAGCTATACACGTGCCATGGTAGTGGTTTACTGCATCCATGGCCCCGTCATCTACATTAGATATTTCTCCTAATGCTATATCCCTCCCCAATTCCCCTAAGCCCTGCTATTTGTCCCCTAGTCCCCCACCCCCCAGGCCCCAGTGTGCGATATTCCTCTCCCTGTGTCCATGTGTTCTCATTGTTCAACACCCACTTATGAGTGAAAACATGCAGTGTTTGGTTTTCTGTTCTTGTATCAGTTTGCTGAGAATGATGGTTTCCAGTTTCATCCACGACCCTGCAAAGGACATGAACTCATCCTTTTTATGGCTGCATAGTATTCCATGGTGTATATGTGCCACATTTTCTTTATCTAGTCTATCACTGATGGGCATTTGGGTTGGTTCCAAGTCTTTGCTATTGGGAACAATGCCACAATAAGTGTACATGTGCATGTGTCTTTATAATATGATTTACAATCCTTTGGGTATATACCCGGTAATGGGATTGCTGGGTCAAATGGTATTTCTATTTCTAGATCCTTTAGGAATTGCCATACTGTCTTCCATAATGGTTGAATTAATTTACACTCCTTAAACTAATAAGCAACTTCAGCAAAGTCTCACAATACAAAATCAATGTGCAAAAATCACAAGGATTCCTATACACCAATAACAGACAAATAGTCAAATCATGAGTGACCTCCCATTCACAATTGCTACAAAGAGAATACCTAAGTATACAACTAACAAGGGATGTGATGGCTCTTTTTAAATGTTGATGTTAATGGAAATAAATATTTTTTAGGGATTTATTTTGTTTGTTGCTTTGAAATATAAAGAAGACTACTTTAAGGATAAATACAGTGTAGTAATTTATGGTATCAGCATGATGCAAGAAGTGAAAGAAAGATATTTGAATTTAAATTGTTGTTTGTGATTGTGTAATTGTATAGGTATTTCAGTGTCTGTTCCTGAAAACATTCCTGCATCTGCTTTTATATATAAGATTCTTTCAAGAGATCCAGATCTAGGACAGAAAGCTGAAGTAAGTTTTTTTTTTTATTATCATCCATTTAGTTTTGCCCAACTTGGATGAAAAAAAAAAAAACCTCAAAAGAGTGCTCAATTGTTAATGCACAAAAATTATTTTACCAGGCTTTTAATTATTTTACCAGACTTTTAATTAAAGTGTTCTTTAAATGTATGGTAGTCACTGAAGTGAGAGAGGAGACTGAAACCTTTGAATTCTAGTAACATAAAATTAAAATGCTATGGCTTCAAAATGAAAGCAATAGACTTCAAATGGTCTGAAAGTACTGTGAAAAACTAGAGCTTACATCTACTGGCATTTATCTGATGACATTTACATGCATGAATAAAATGTTCTTTCATTGTTCACTGCCTTTTATTCATCCCACTCAGGCATATTTTCTTTATTATATATACAATGTGAATAAAGGATATTTTAGGTCTTCATATTATTTCTGGTTTTAGCAATAATTCATAAAGGGGAGAGAATAAATTTGAGATGTTAAAATGGTTACAGCTTAAGAGGTGGTAAAGAAGAAATCTAAGATAATTCATCACTGTATTTTTTCTCAGAAATTTTTATGGTATACATATGACCTATAATCTAATTCTATTTGTGAGAAAAAATTGTTTTCTTGATGATACAATATATCATAAATCTGATTAATACACTGGAATATTCTGCCCTAAATTTAGTGAGTCAAATTCTCCATAGAAGAGACTAAGTTTTTTTTCTATTTGTTCATGCTTGCTATAACAACACACTTATAAATCTCACTTGAGAATATGTTTGAAAGTAAAGTTTGGGAGAACAGCTCTCTGGAGAATTTAATCTATATTAATTTTTCTGGTGACTTGATTATAATGAGATATTGATTAATACACTTGATTACGTTTTTTGTTCATGTAAATTTCAGACTGAGGACAGAAGACAACACAGGAAAAATATAATTCCTGGTACACCAGGCTCAGCACATCTATTCGTGTGAATGTGTCAGTGTATGTGTGTTGGGAGGACAGAGTTGGAATGTTGGGGTATGTGGGTGTGTGCATTTAAACTAGAATATGTGCATATGTAGAGGATGGGTGTCTACAAAAGTGTCAATTATAATTATGTGTTTACATGCATAGTTTCTATTACTAAAAATTAATGTAATATCTGGATTTTATTGTAAAAGTCATTAGGAAAGAGAAAACAAAGCTTTGAAAAATGATAATTTTTAACAAATCTAAAACCATAGTAATGAGGATAAACAAAGAAATTATTTTCAAGAGGATTTTAATCTAATATAAGCCAACTTTGGTTATTCACTTACAGGCAAATGAAAGATGTTTAATATGATCATCAAATGGGCTATCATGTATTTTTGAGAAATAGCCTTGGGTATTAGATCCTCCCAGGTTTTATTGGGTTATTTTTTTTGAGCTAGGATCTGGATGTAAGTGTTTATAATTTCTTTATGAAATCCTTTTCAAAATCTTTAATATTTATCTTGATAACAATGGAGAGAAACATGCCGATGCCCATAAAATTAATAGTTTTGTCCAAGGCAATATTTTATTTGTGCCATACAGAAAATCAATTCAGAGATGAAATCAAATGGCTTCTTCCAGATAATTCAGTGCATGTGCCTCCTTTAGATACACTTCCTGAGTATCCAAGAGGGAATGACTTTTTTTTAAATATTGGAAAAATCCGTAAATGCAACACTGGAAAGTAAACTATGGAATTATTGAAAGCTATTCACCAAAAATGCTCTAATACTTTAGTATAAAATGCATTGAAAAAAATACAACTACAATGTGAAAGAATATATAATTTTTGAAGTCTGGAACTGAAAGTACATTTAGATTTTAGTTTATGGGCACTGTCTTCAGAAAATTTATTTTGGTTAACTTCTTGCCAAATCATTGCATCAAAGCTGTCAGTTCAGAATTCATGCTTACTCAATAATGTACTAACCAAGTTTATGTGTGTGTTGCAGTTTTTGATATTAAATTCTTCAATTAATGCCACTGCCTACTTCACTTTGGATTCACATAATGGTGTCATTTCTAAAACCACTGAACCTCTTTTGGACTATGAAACAAATCCTAAGGTGAGACAAAATATAAAAATGAATATAAAAGAATGAATACCATTAAATACCCTTCAACAAAATAATTTTTCAAATCTTATCTAAGTTGAAAGAAGTTACCAAATTTATATAATTGCATTTTCACATTCATCCAGATCAAGCAGAAATTCATTTGAAGAGAAAATAAATTTAGAAGCATATGTGATTCATTGTAGTTTTTTATTAGATCTTATTTAAATATTATCTCAATTTTTGTGTGTGTTTCTGTGGATGTATATAAAAGTTGGAGAAGGGATTGTCTCCATATTCAACAGCATGGAACAGAGGCAGTGTTCTGGGTAATTAACTAAAAGTGCACTTCTTTAGCTTAGAATTATCTGAAAAAGTGCCTCTGTCTTTGGCTTTATGTGCTTGTAGACACCTGGTGTGGCCTTTTTTCCCTGCAATGTTCTGGTCAAATTTGAAATTTGCAAATAATTGGAAAGAAGAGTGAGGTATAAGGAGATGAAAACACAAAACAAATCATTTTTTCCTACCAAATCATCCCGGAAAATGAGACCATTTACATTTCAAATGTTTTCCTGTTTCTTTAAGCAATTCTCAACGTTTCCAATAGTAGACTTATCAGGCATTTTTTTTTTAACATCATCTTATCTAAAACATGACTTTCTAAACCGCAAATGTTTTGGCCAGAACTTTTCTCACTATGTGAGAGTTGAAGAAAAAAAAAACAACAACTATTTTTCCAGGATATTTGTCTAGTTGCTTATAATATTACTTTTCGCCCTCGTATTATAGGATCATTTCTTGTGTAGTCAACTTTGCTGTTTTCCATTAACTCCTAAACAAATTGCCTTTGTTCTTAATGTTTCTTTGTTCTCTCATATAATGTTCGGGATTAACTTTACTTAGAAAGTGGGTGTTAACATTTTTATTTATTTATTTTTATTTTATTTATTTGAGACAGAGTTTCTATTTATTTATTTGTTTGTTTGTTTGAGATGGAATTTCACTCTTGTTGCCCAGGCTGGAGTGCAATGGAACGATCTTGGCTCACTGTAACCTCCACTTCCCAGGTTCAAGTGATTCTCTTGCCTCAGCCTCCCGAGTAGTTGGGATTATAGGTGCCTACCACCATACCCGGCTAATTTTGTAGAAACAGGGTTTGCAATATTGGTGAGGCTTGTCTTGAACTCCTGACCTCAGGTGATCCACCCACTTTGACCTCCCAAAGTTCTGTGATTATAAGCATGTGTCATGGCACCCAGCTGACATTTTGATTTTAATTTCACTTAATTTATAAATTATACTAGAGAGAAATGGTATCTTTATCATCATGAATCCGGCAAATTCATGTATTTATTTAATGATTTCATTTAAATCCTTCAATAACATTTTGCATTTTCTCCATAAAGTTCTTACACATAATATATATAACATTCTTAAGTTTTATAGCTAAATATTTATTTTCTAATTGTTATTTGTGGTTTTATAGAAAATTGTCATCTCTTACTCTTAAAAACAGCACACCTGCTAAAATTTTACATCGATTATAATAATTTTGAAGTGATCTTTTATATTCTATGTGTTAACATTCATAAAGTACGTGTGGAAAAAGACAGCTGTTTCTCTCTAATCTTTACAGATTTTTATTTATAGTATCTACCTTATTTTTCTGCTGAGTACTTCCAGAACAATGTTTATTAGAAATGGTAATAGCAGGCATCCTTATCTTGTCATGATTTTAAAAGACATTGTTTAAATGTTTCAAACAACAATGCTTTTGCTGTAGAATTTTGGTGGGTAATCTTCCTTAAGTAGAGAAAATTTTTTTATTCCTAGTTTGTTTAGAATTTTTATCAAAAATTTGATGCTAACTTTTATAATTTTTTTCTTCATCTACTCAGATGATTATATTGTTTATTTTTCCCTTAATATCAGTGTTTTGATATATTTTTCATTTTGTAGCATCCTTGTATTCTGACCTATAACCAATCCTATATGAGGTTTTTTAAGCACTAAAAAACCCTTTCAATATGTAATACTGAATTCAATTTACTAATAATTTAATTTTGATATTTGAGTCCCATTTTTTTAACCCCTTTGCTGACGAAATTTCATGGTGCTTTTTAAAAATTTATTTGTTTCTTTACTCCTCACCCATGAACTCGCCTTTAGAAGGCATAAAAAAATCTATTTGGATAGTTGAGAAATTGTCTGTCAGGCCTCCCTTCAGCATCACTGGCCTCAGCAAGCTTACATCTTAATTTCATGTCTTGACAATTCTTGCACTGAATATGTATGTATTGATAGTATAATTAGTATAATCTTTAATATGAATTTCTTTCTGACCTCCCTGTGTGTGTGTGTGTGTGTGTGTGTGTGTGTGTGTGTGTCCATACTATAATTTTATTTCAGTGGTATCCTAGAAATACTGTTGCAAATTTACACTTCCAACAACTTCATCTAAAAGCAAACAAAAGCAAATGCTCACCTTGTAAAAGTTCACCCTTTTTTGGTTTACAGGTCAGTCTTCCCCACTAAAATGTTAACACTATTTCTAATTTAGGTCTTTTCTCTAGAGTCCTATACAGTGCATCAAAAGTGGTCAAGCTGTATTTCTTGAATGAAAGCATGTACTCTAGCTACCAATTTTATGTGTTTTATAAAATGTAAAACACAAGAACCAATAAACTAATTGGTTCAGCCATCTTATTTCATATCTTCTGTATGCCAAATGCTGTGTTTGTCTTCTTATTCCAACTTCTACGCCACCACACATTTTATTTTTCTCCCATAGTTTTTCAAAAGAAGCAATTTATACATTTTTTTCCTACCTTTTTTCTGAACAAATAGTTAATATGTTTTTTTCTGGACAACAGTTTAATTAAATGGTAATATGTCGCTGGTCGTGCCAGATTTTAGTTAAATACTTCTCGTGATCTTCAGGGGATTTTTTTAGCTATTTAAAATATACCCAAATTAGAAGATCTGATTAGGTATAATCTCATAGGATTACATATAATTTGAAGTGGTTTTTCTTTATAAATGTAATCTGCTTATTGACCACAGAATTACATTTAATAAAATAAAAAAATTAAAATCATATTTGACTTCATCAAACTTATTAGTCATTATCTCATTAGACCATATTTCTTCATTATTTGAGGCACTATAATATCAGTTTGTCAAATGAAGTGTTAGGTTTTTTTTTTTTTTTAATTTTTTATTGGATTTTAGGTTTTGGGGTACATGAGCAGAGCATGCAAGACAGTTGCGTAGGTACACACATGGCAGTGTGCTTTGCTTTTCTTCTCCCCTTCACCCACATTTGGCATTTCTCCCCAGGGTATCCCTCCCCACCTCCCCCTCCCACTGGCCCTCCCCTTTTCCCCCCAATAGACCCCAGTGTTTAGTACTCCCCTTTCTGTGTCCATGTGTTCTCATTTTTCATCACCCACCTATGAGTGAGAATATGCGGTGTTTCATTTTCTGTTCTTGTGTCAGTTTGCTGAGGATGATGTTCTCCAGATTCATCCATGTCCCTACAAACGACACAAACTCATCATTTCTGATTGCTGCATAATATTCCATGGTGTATATGTGCCACATTTTTCCAATCCAGTCTATTATCAATGGGCATTTGGGTTGATTCCAGGTCTTTGCTATTGTAAACAGTGCTGCAATGAACATTCGTGTATATGTGTCCTTATAGTAGAACGATTTATAGTCTTTTGGATATATACCCAGTAATGGGATTGCTGGGTCAAATGGAATTTCTATTTCTAAGGCCTTGAGGAATCGCCACACTGTCTTCCACAATGGTTGAACTAATTTACACTCCCACCAACAGTGTAAAAGTGTTCCTTTTTCTCCACATCCTCTCCAGCATCTGTTGTCTCCAGATTTTTTAATGATCGCCATTCTAACTGGCGTGAGATGGTATCTCAATGTGGTTTTGATTTGCATCTCTCTGATGACCAGTGACGATGAGCATCTTTTCATATGATTGTTGGCCTCATGTATGTCTTCTTTCTTAAAATATCTGTTCATATCCTTTGCCCACTTTTGAATGGGTTTGTTTTTTTCCTGTAAATCTGTTTGAGTTCTTTGTAAATTCTGGATATCAGCCCTTTGTCAGATGGGTAGACTGCGAAAATTTTTTCCCATTCTGTTGGTTGCCGATCCACTCTAGTGACTGTTTCTTTTGCCGTGCAGAAGCTGTGGAGTTTCATTAGGTCCCATTTGTCTATTTTGGCTTTTGTTGCCAATGCTTTTGGTGTTTTGTTCATGAAGTCCTTGCCTACTCCTATGTCCTGGATAGTTTTGCCTAGATTTCCTTCTAGGGTTTTTATGGTGCCAGGTCTTATGTTTAAGTCTTTAATCCATCTGGAGTTAATTTTAGTGTAAGGTGTCAGGAAGGGGTCCAGTTTCTGCTTTCTGCACATGGCTAGCCAGTTTTCCCAACACCATTTGTTAAACATGGAATCCTTGCCCCATTGCTTGTTTTTGTCAGGTTTATCAAAGATTGTATAGTTGTATGTATGTTGTGTTGCCTCCGGTGCCTCTGTTTTGGTACCAGTACCATGCTGTTTTGATTACTGTAGCTTTGTAGTATAGTTTGAAATCCGGTAGTGTGATGCCCCCCGCTGTGTTCTTTTTGCTTAGAATTGACTTGGATATGCGGGCTCTCTTTTTGTTCCATATGAAGTTCATGGTGGTTTTTTCCAGTTCTGTGAAGAAAGTCAATGGTAGCTTGATGGGGATAGCATTGATTCTGTAAATTACTTTGGGCAGTATAGCCATTTTCACGATATTAATTCTTCCTAACCATGAACATGGAATGTTTCTCCATCTGTTTGTGTCCTCTCTGATTTTGTTGAGCAGTGGTTTGTAGTTCTCCTTGAAGAGGTCCCTTACGTTCCTTGTGAGTTGTATTCCAAGGTATTTTATTCTTTTTGTAGCAATTGCGAATGGCAATTCGCTCTTGATTTGGCTTTCTTTAAGTCTGTTATTGGTGT